CACAGATCTGTGGCAGTTCAACGATTCTGTGCTAGTTTTGAGCCCATCAACACCCCCCAACCATAAAGACTGGCATCTGTAGTCACAGTTACTCTTGTCGACTCTCTGAATTCCAATCCCCTGTTGACTGCTGTGGATAGCCACTACCGGAGCAACAGACGGACCCGTGGAGACATTGGAATAGCCAAAGGTGAGTTGCTCATCATTTGTCTTTGGTATGGAATTAGGGCCCAGGACTGCCAAGGTCCTGTGAAGGCACGCCTAGGGAATTAGGACTCACTGTAAGGTCCTGTGAAGTCACGCCCAGGGAACTATTCCAATGCACAATATCATTGTGCCTAATAGATGTGAAAGGTCTACTATGGGTACTACCCACCTGGAACGCACCTTATGGACTAATTTTTGCAGATTGGACCAACGGTCCTAAGACAGAAATACCAACTCCGCCCCCGAGTCTATTATTGCTCCTAGGTACAATATTTTCATGGTGGGAGTGAGGTGGCTTTTAGAAAAGTTGACAGGGAACCCCACCTGTTGAAAGGTGCTAATGGTGAGGTCGAGGTAATGAATTGCCTGATCATAAGTATGGGCCTGCACTAATATGTCATCTAGGTAGCATTGGAGTCTGACCAGGATGGGACGAAGGTCTGCCGATGCTGCCAGAACCTTAATGAATGACCTCGGGGCTGAAGCAACGCCTGGTATTGATAATGAGCCCCTTCCCGAGAGAACCTGAGATACGTGTGGTGGAATGGTAATACTGGGATGTGCATATACGCTTCAGTGAGGTCTATGGAGGCTAGGAAGTCTCCCTGCCTGATCTCTTCTAATATGGACCTCAAAGAGGTCCATTTTAAATCATCTATAGACGATGTACCAGTTCAGACATTTCAGATCAAGAATCGCTCTCCATCTCCCCGCACAAACTCTTAGGGACTATAAATAGGTTGAAATAAAATTCCAACCCCTGCTCTTCAAATGGAACCAGCTCTATTTCTCGAATTTCCAGTAGGTGTCAAATTGTGAACCTTACAAGATTATGCTTTACAGGGTTCCCAGAAGATGGGAAGGCCCTGAAGAGATTCGGAGGGGAGGAGAGAAACTCTAATCTGATCCCCTGTTGTACCATTGCAAGGACCCAAGAATCCATCGTTATGTGTTCCCATTGTGACGCAAAGTGATACAGGCGACTGCCTATGGGAAATTATTCCTGTTTTGGAATCGATCCGCCCGGGTTATAGTACCTGTTCTGATGGAAATCAGGTTGACTGGGATAGAAGGAGGGTTGTCTGCAGTAAGGAGCAGGTTGGTTCTCCTGTCGCTTGATCGTAGTGGGAAGCACCTTTTTTTGGCCTTGTTTTCAATTAATATAGGTTCCAAGGACTCGCCAAAAAGAGACCCTCCAGCAAAATGTGCAGTTGCTAGATGGAACTTTGACTTGTTGTCTGCTTGCCAGTTCCTAAGCCAGAGGAGATGCCTGGAGACCACCAAAGCAGACAGAGCTCGAGAAGAAAATTTGACAGAGTCAAGTGTGACGTCTGCAGAGAATTGGGTTGCAGCAATAATTTTGCTAATGTCTTTCATCATTTGAGAATCCTCAGGGGGAATACACTCCTGTAATTGCTGCAACCATAACAAGGTAGTCCTATTGAAAAAGGAGGCAACTACTGCCGACTTTATGGCCCATGTGGAAGCCTGAAATCCCTTACATAGGATTAACTCACCTTTTTATCTTCTGGCTTGATCTTATCTGCTATATCTCCTGAGAGTACTGCAGAAGAGGAAGACAAGGCCATGACTGGGGCATTGACAGTGGGAACCTGGAGAGCCTGGAAGAACCCTTGGTTCAAATTGTAAAAATGTCTGTCGTTGTCCCCTGAGTTGGGAATGGGCGGGACCATTGGTTTTTAACCACTTCTAAAAATAAGGGGGGTGCAGGCACCTCCTCCTTATCCATGCCAGTCTTTGAAAACATAGCCTGTGTCAGATCTTTGGGACCACTGGTGGTAGAAACTGTGGAGCTTCCTCCCAATTTAGTTGTGGCCTTGGCTTTACTCAATATGGGTTTGAAGAGGGGGGGGGGGGAGACCAGCGAAGGCCAAAGAGTCCGGCTTCCCTGAGTCCTCGTCATCTGATAATGCTAATTCACGATGTGGTTTCCTATTATTGAGCCCTCACTGGCCAATGAAGGTGAACCAGGCCTGCAAAACTCCGAGGTCTGAGTCTGTGTAGGAGGGGCTATAGTCGACTGATTCTGGGATCTCTTGGATCCCTGATCCTGGGTTCCCTGCTGTTTTAAGCCTGAAGCAATTCCTTGAGTGATTGCTGAGGCAATAATTCTTTGTATACTAGGTGAAAGCTGCTCAAGTGCATCCAAGGCATTGTAGGGGTCATCTACCACCGTGGGCTCCGCAGATTGGGGAGCTAGAGCAGTTCTGGGAATGAGGAAATTGTAGGATGTGCCCTCTAAGGGGTCACCCATAGCCCCCATAACCCCTCTAATAGCAGTAGGTGATGCTGATGGGGATGGAGAGCTATCCATTCTTACCCTTCTAATGCCCCTGGGGATAAGGCTGGGGAGGAATCTGGGCTAGAAATCCTGGGTAGAGAACTAGACCTCCGAACTCCCTCTGCTTCCCTCAAGCGTTCTGCCCTAGCACTTGTTTATCGAGGCCTTGCCGGCTGTTCTGACCCCCCTCTTTGCTCATTCAGAAACGACAGTCACACACACAGCTTGCAAAGGAATGTCTTTATCAGTCCCGACTTTTGCTGGCTGCGAGCCCAAAATAAACATAGATAAATTCTCTGGCAAAAAGTTAAACAGCAAATGCAAAAAGAAACTCTCACAGTAAACCAAGTTTACATAAAGCAAATCACTTATCCAAGTGCTTCTTTGAATCATGAACACGAACTAGACCAGGAACGGAACAGAACTAACAAATGAATGAACGACATTGACTTCTGCCACTAAGGCGTGGCACCATCAGTCTTTTATCCACAGGAGGAAATCCTTAACGAGCCCCAGCTGCTTGTTATCTTCTCCTGTGAGCATCCTGAAACCACTCACAGTAGATTTCTGTGTCAGTCTAATAGCAGCTCCAAAGGCTCCTACCGAGCCACAACACCGCCTGCACTGTTCTTCAGGTAGAGTAGTCCTAGTTGGATGCTGGTCAGTGGGGTTTTTGGAAGTCTTGGCCCTGATAGAAGGCCTAAAAGACCCTGGCTCTGTTCCCTCCATTTCAATCGTGGTGTCAGTAGCACTGGTCCTGGCGGCACCATTTTGTGACCACGCTGTATCACTGTCCACTTAATTTGCATCCAAGAAAGGAGTTAAAGTCCTGTTTTCCTTTAGAAATTAGAAGACACACTGCTAAGGAAACAGCGCAGGGACACCGCTGTGAGTCTTGTGCATGCTGCGGGCCAATTTTTGTCAGGAGCCTCATGGCGTGAAAACAAAATGGCTGCCTGCCTTTGTCCTATGCAGCCTTGAAAATGGCGTCCCTATCTTTCTTAACGCAAATCTTCCTCATAGATTGGCCAGCGATCTCCTAAATCAAGCGGCAACATCTGTATTTTGATTATTTTTTCCAGTAACTTCCCAGGTTTTGATGTTAGGCTGATTGAACTGTAGTTTCCTGGATTTGTCCCCCCCACCACTTTTTAAAAAAAAGATAGGAGCTACATCAGTTCTTTTCCAATCCTCTGGTAGCCTAGTGTTCCAGGGTCTTTGAAAAATATGGTACAATGGATAACATCTATTTGGCTTCATAAAAACTGATTTCCACCATTTCTGTACTTTCTTTCCACAGATAAAACCCCATTTTGCTAGGCAGCAGGGCAGTAATCTGTATCTATGATTCCATAGCTTGTTTTCTTATTTTTATTTTAAAAACAAAGTGTACTTTTAATAGCAAATGTTGCTTATCATTGAACAGGTTTAGGGCAAGGATAGAGGACATTTTTTAGACATGAAATATTGTGAATTAAGAAAATGTAAAATAGGAAAATTTGTTCCCCCCTTCCCCAAAGTTTGGTGCATTGCTTGTTGTCTTATGTATTTGTTAAAAATGAACTTTACAGAAGCACAGAAAAAAGAGAAATGTTTGAGGGGTGGGGAGGAAAGTGTTTTTTTCAATCAGTAAAAGAATTCACATAGCTATTGTAGAGAGCAGGACAAAAATGAGTGAAATACAACAAGTGAGTCGATCTTTCAGAATATGAAGTTAGTTAGGTTTACTATCGTTAATTCATGAAGACTTTGCATAAACTTCTAAATTATGCATTAAGTGATATACAAGTGGCAAACAGAACAAGCAATAACATTCTTATATTGAATTTATTAAAGACACCTATTAAAGTCCTTAAGAGTTTTGTAAGAAGGAACAAAAAAAATTAAAAAGGCAAGCTTTAGGATGTTATTTAAAGAATAATAAAAGAAGAATTAAAAAATTAAAGATTAAATTGTTAAAAATAAAAGGAATTTTCTAATAAAGAAATGCTAAATGGGTAGCATACAAATCAAATAAATGAATGAATGGACAATGAATATAAAAGGTAGGAATATAAAATGGATTTATTTAATCAAAGTTCAAATAGACATATTTCTGGTAACTCTTAATGGACTTTTGCTGAACAGGATTAAATGACAGGGTTTTAAAGATCTGTTTATAAGAGAAGTGCTATGGATGAAAAGATTGTTGTAATAAATTGTTAAAATTGTGTATACATATTGCAAATAAAGGGAAATTTCTATATTTGTGTATAATACACACACACACAGAGAGAGAGTGTATATATGCACTGTATTCTCATTTTTTGCTATATTCTCATTTTTCTTCTCTCACTCTCTCGCTCTGTGTGTGTGTGTTTGTGTGCGTGCATGTGCGTGCATGTGTATGTGTGCGTGCGTGTGTTTACATATATATTATTTTTATAGTTATATTATTTTTATCTTTAACTGTAATATTTAATAAAGTTATTATTAAAATCCTTTATTACAGACCATTATTGGAGACCATTAAGAAAATGTTCTTGCTTTTGACTTGCTGCCTTACTTTCAACTTCTGGTTTGGCTGCTATAGAAACAGACTTCTGGGCAAATGAGCCTTTTTATTTGATCCAACACAGCTCTTCTTATGCTCATATGTTTTTCATCAGATAGAATCCAGAATTTTATCACCACAATCTACCATCTGACTCTGCATAATGTGTAGATAGACTTCCAAGCATTCTTTCTTTTCAGAGGTAAGCATATTCCTTCTTTGCAAAAGAAATGTGTAAAAATTGACAAACAGATGAACTGTGAATGTTACCGGATGACAAACTGAAGTTAAGCCTGTAGTGGGAATATGGGAAGATATTACTAACTCAAATGACACAAATATTTCATGGATAATATTATGCCAAAATGAGTGGGTGCCAGCAGAAATTCAAATGCCTACAGAATTACTGTTAATATTGTTTTGTGTTAATTATAAAAAAATGCTTGTAGTCCACATTGAACCATTATCCATTAATTGATTTTCTTCTACTTCAAATGCAGTTGGTAAAGCAATATGGAAGTCCTTCCATATGTGATGAATATATAGATTATGAATCATAGGCATTATTTAACAGTTTTATCTTTATGTAAGAAACATTTATACCTTTTATAACTTTCAATTGCATTAGTGCCTTAGAAAAAAATATTCTGGTAGGATTTTCTAAATGCAGTACGACAAAAAAAATATCATTATTTTCATGTTAAAGTAAAAAAAAAATCATTTTTTTCCCCACAAATATTTACTACCTGTACAGCAGAAAAGCAATGGTCTGATAGCTTCCAGTTGCTTTTAATTTTAGACAATGCAGCTGTTTTATACATGTATAAAACAATTTTATAAATATATTAAACAATACATTCCTTTTTTAATTGTTTTACTATATATGCACAGTATTTTTGTTATGCTTAAATTGTATAGTTTTATTTCATTAAATTTAATCTGTTCATTTCTTGTTATGTATATCTACTGAATAGGAGGCTGGGATATTAAAAATGGTGAGATGGTAGGTTGACACATTTCTGGTATTCCCAATAAATATGCAAATTCTTTTAGGGCATCCTAGGGCTGTGGGAAGTTTAAAAATAACTTGATGAAAGTATCTGGACCACATGAAAGATCAATCTCATTCTGCTATTTTCCAAAGCCTTTTTTTATACTTCTGCATGAGCCTTCAAAAGTGTTGTGGTTTCTTTAAAATGTCAAATGTCAAAGTGGTTGCTCATGATATCATTGAAATGTGAGACCAGTTGGCAAATCTAAACACAGTTACTGTAAATTAATAGTGTTAATATGTTCATAGTTTAGAAAGAGGGGTTATTCTTATCATCTTGTTCTGATAATGCATTGATAGTGTGAGCTTATATATTGAACTTAAAACTTTGTGGATTCATCTTTGATCAACCTATTTTTTGATACTTTACTGTGTTTTAACATTACCTACTCATCTGTAATCCCAGTAGTAATATTGTGAGAGTTGGACTATAAGGAAAGCTTGAACACCAAATAATTGATGCTTTCAAATTGTGGTGTTGGAGAAGATTTTGAGAGTTCCTTGGATTGCAAAGAGATGGTATCAATCAATCCTAAAGAAAATCAGCTATGTCTGTTCTTCAGAAGGACAGATTCTGAAGCTTATCTGTTTGAATACTTTTTATCACCAAATGAGAAGAAAGGATTCATTGGAAAAGACCCTACTGTTGGGAAAGAGTGAAGCCAAAAGAAGAAGACGGGGCAGAAGATGAGCTGATTAGATAGTGTCATTGATGCAATGAACATGAATGTGGGCAAATAGTGGAGGACAGGGGCGCCTGGCTTGCTTATGGTCCATGAAGTCATGGGAATTGAAAATGACTTTATGATTGATCAACAAATCAATCTGTAAAATAAAGGTTGTGAATATATCTGTTTTATGGAAGATTTGGAAAGACTAACAAAGTATCCCTTCTCTTATGATTGAAGCACGTTGTGGCTCAGCATGCACAAAAAATGATGTTGCTTAAGTACATAGATGACATAGATGCTGTTGAGGCCCAGCAGGAGCCGTTGGAGCTGCCACCAGACTCCGACAGCGAGGGGCCCTATGAGTTGGCCCTGGAGGATGTGGAGGACCCTGGACAGGATTCCGACTCCAAGCAGGGTGCAGAGAGACTGGTTGGCCACCAGGTGGCACCTCAGCCTTGGATCAGTGGGGAGGAGACAAGAGAGAGTGATCCAGAAATCAACAGTGAGTTGTTCTGGATGCATGCCGTCGAAGGGCTACTCGGCGTCAAGAACAACTACGTAATTACAGGAGGTAATTATGTTCAGCTGATGGTCATTAAGCTCCTCTCCAGACTATAAAAGAGACTGCCTGTGCCACGCCGTTCTTGTAGAAGTTAACGCTTGGACTAAAGAGAAACGAACTTGGCAGGCTGGATTGCTGCCAGAGTTTGTTTGCATTGCTGCCAAGGTTTGTCGGACTTGCTGCCAAGGTCCTTATCTGTTTGTTTATTTGGCTTTCAGCCACCGAGAGTCTGGTCTTGTTATTAAAGGACATTCCATTTTACGCTTGTCTCAGCTTTCGTTACTGAACGGAGGAGGGGGTCAGAACAGATGACTATACAAATAGTCCTCAATTTATGATTATAGTTGAATCCAACATTTCCATTGTTAAGCAAGGCTGCTGTTGAATGAGTTTTGCCCCATTTTACTATCTTTCTTGCCACAGTTGTTGTGATTCATTGCAGTTATTAAGATAGTCACATTGTTAGGTGAACCTATTGACTTGTCAGAAAGTCACAAAAGGTGATCATATGACCCATGACACTGTAACCATTATAAATACATGTTAGTTGTCAAGTGTTGGAATTTTGATAGTATTAACAATGGAGATGCTGAAACAGCCATAAGTATGAAAAACAGTCATAAGTTACCTTTTTCAGTTCCATTGTAACTTTACACTGTCACTAAGGGGTCAGCAACCTTAAACACTGAAAGAGCCAGTTGGACCCGTTGGACCGGGAGCCACGAAACCCTTTTGACATCTAAAATGCCTACCGGCGGTCAAAAAGCTCAATAAATCATGTGATGGTAGGTGTCGCACATTGGCGGTTGTGACACATATTTTGAGCGACGGAGCTGCAGCAGAGGGATGAAAGAGCAAAATGCGGTTTCAGAGTTGAGGGTTCCCGACCCCTGGACTATATGAATACTTATAAGTCAAGTACTATCTGTACTATGTCCCAAAGGTGCTTTTTCAAGAGGCAACTGGGCTTTCTGATTTTTCTTTTTCAGAGATGAAGAAGCATCTTGGATGAGAATCAAAACATCTTAAAAGAAAAAACCAGAAAAAGCATCTTTGGGACATAGTGAACTGGGTGACTTAGAATCTCCATAGATACCTGTATTATGCAATGGATAAACAATGGCTTTTTAGCCAAATGTCTTATCAATATAGGCAGCAACATAACTAGTCGATTTAGCTGTAAACATTTGTTTTATCTCTAGAGTCAGATATTTTTCTACAATTAAGAATTTGTTAGCCATTTATGTAATTCTGAGGTTTGTGATTTGAATCCTGCTCTGTGCCTTTAAATAATTAAGCAACTGGCTGTCCCATAGCTGTTCGTACTGAGGATTTTTGGCAGTAAATAGTAAATAAACTGCTGCCAGCTTCGGAATGTCATGGCAAAAATGACAATATAATATATAATAATTTCAGAAATCATAGTGAGGCGCTCCCTGTACACATTTAGGAATGCCCTCCAAATATTTCCTTATAATTATTATGTATATGTTAGCTGTTGTGGCCCGGCAGGAGCCGTTGGGGTCTTATGAGTTGGCCCTGGAGGAGGTGGAGGACCCTGGACAGGGTTCTGACTCCAAGCAGTACGAGGAGAGACTGGTTGGCCACCAGGTGGCGTCTGAGCCTTGGATCAGTGGGGAGGAGACAAGAGTGAGTGATCCAGAAAACACCTGTGAGTTGTTTCGGGATGCACACCATCTAAGGGCTAGTCAGTGTCAAGAACAACGGCGTAATTACAAGAGGTGATTACGCTCAGCTGATGCTCATTAAGATCCTCTCCTGATTATAAAAGAGACTGCTTGTGCCACGCCCTTCTGCAGAAGTCAACGTTAAGGATTAACAAGAAACAAACTTGGCAGGCTGGATTGCTGCCAGAGTTTGTTTGCATTGCTGCCAAGTTTTGTAGGACTTGCTGCCAGAGTGCTTATCTCTTTCTTTATGTGGCTTGCAGCCAACAAGAGTCTGGACTGATTAAAAGAAACATTCTCATTTACGTTGGTTTCAGCTTTCGTTCCTGGACAGAGAAGGGTGTGTGTGAACAGTTAGCCTTATGCTGTTTCCATCTCATAGGCACTTTGGCATATTTCACTTTGTTTGTCCATCAAATCTAATCTATAAAGAGAATGAATGAATGAATGCAATGAATGAATGAATAAATGAATTAATTAATTAATTAATTAATTAATTAATTAATTAATTAATGAACTGCATTCAGCCTTGCCACTAGACATTTTTTAACAATGTGTTTCTTGCAGAATTATAAATTATCTTGAAGAATAATTGTTTTGAATATCCAAGCAATACTTTTTCTGGTTTTTATTTAAAGACAAAATGGCACCCACATTTTGGACTGAAATATTTCATTGATTTTTTTAAAGAAGAAGATACAGTTGCAAGAAAAAGTATGTGAACCTCCTTTACGTGGAGTTTTGCATGAATTGGTCATAAAATGTGCTCTGAACTTCATCTAAGTCACAACAATAGAAAAACA